AGAGACGGTCTTGCTGTGTTGTGCACGTTGGAGTTCAGTGGCTCCACTGAACGGGCACAATTATAGCACACTGTAGCTTTGACCTCCTAGGCTTAAGTGATCCTCCTACCTCAGACCCCCAAAGTAACTGAGATTACAGGCCTGCCACTGTGCCTGGCTTATTTTTTATTTTGTATTAAAATAGAAGAATAATACCAACTTAGTACTTTTCTAGAGCTGAGAAAATTTTAGGATCACCAGATGTTTTTTGCTTTTATGTAATAAAGGCTTCTGGTATTTTTGGTCACCATGTTTGTATTTTACTAATTCACTTCTTTCTGAGTCTTTTGAGTCAGTATTAGATAATACAATATTAACTAATACAATGGAACATGTGTGCTTTACCTGTGAATCATAGCCATTGAACTTAAAAAAAAAAGTACTTCTTATAAGAAGCTGGTTTTAACGTATGTAATAGACTGCATAGACCCTTAACACTATCAGAGTTACAGATTTTAGATTAATTGCTATCAACTTTTGAGTACGCAAGTTCAAATTTTACATAGTTACAGAAGAGATATTTTCAGAATAGTTTTACAAGTTTAAAACAATCTGTATATTTGAGAAAATTTTAAGTTATTAAAAAATTTTCTTCAGTATTTATAATCTCTGTGTTCTGAAGTTATCACTTCATCACTTTTAAAAGTTTATACTTGTGTTTATGAAAGAAATTTAAAAATATTCATAGTACTTAGCAATGAGAAAGGACAAACTTGACACGCATTATAATATGGATGAATCTTAAAATCATGCTGAGTGCAAGAAGCTATACATAAAAGGAACATACTGTATGATTCCATTTGTGTAAAAATACAGAAAATGCAAACTGGTTTCCAGTGACATAACAGACTAGTGGTTGCCTGGGGATGGTGTGGAGGAGGGATGGACTGCAGAGGGACACAAGGAAACTTTTGGGTGAAGGTTTACATATGTCAAGGCTCATCAAATTGCGTATGTTAATATATGAAGTTAATTGTGTGTAAATTGTGCCTCAATAATTATTTAGTTGTAGATAGAAAAGAATGAGATAAATAAAAATAAGTGGCAGTTATAGCAGAAATGGATTTGAAATATACACATAAATGTACATATTTATAATAGCTCCTGAATTTATTTTATTGGTATATCTTGAGCAATTAGATTTTGCTAAAAACTTTATTTTTTTGTTCTTAGTA